GCTGTTGAGCTGCTCTGTGACTTAGAAAAGACACTGTTTCAACTTCCCGTTCCTGCTCCTCTTGTTCCCCATTGTTCCAGCTTGGTAACTTGATTTTTTATTGAGTTGCATTGTTCTCTTCATTTCAGTAAAGAAATACAGAGTTGGATAAGGGTGGCGGAATTTTAATGTAGTATTTTCTGGTATTGATTCAGTAGATGAGGAAGGAATAGCATTTTTTCTTCTCTTTGCTTATTACTATTATAGCTCATAGCTAATGGCTGGTATTTCTGAATAATACTGTTGTGGGTTTCTGTTGCAGTGACACTGAACTATGCAGTTTTCCTTTTAAATTTCTCACAAAGAAGATACTTCCCCTCACTCCTTTGCAAGATGTGGGGAAAGAGGTCTGCAGGTGTGGAACATTGCATATATATTGTCAGCCTTTTTCAATATCTTAATTAGTTTTATGGCTTTTTCTCTCATCTTTTTCTTTTCTTTTTGTTATATGGGATGGCTTTTGGGGAGGGGAGGAGGGAAAGGATTACAGGGAGCAATTTAGGCAGTCTAAAAAAGCGTCAAAATTTATTGTAAACTTTTCTCCTGAATAATAATAGCTTATATTTACAAAGCACACTCAGGTTTACAAAGCTCTTTCCTCATAGTCACCTTGGAAAGCTGGCCCACAGGCCTCTATCCTGAGCCTTTTTCTCTACTCTCTTTTTACTAGTGGTGATCTCATTAGCTCACATGGATTCAGTTGTCAGATTTATGCTGATGATTCTCAAAAATACTTAGCCAGCCCTAACCTCTCTGCTGACCTCCAATCTTGTATCTCCACCTGCCTGTTGAACCTCTTTAACTGGATGTCCTGTAGACGTCTTACACTCAGCATGTCCCAAACTGAACTCATCATCTCCCCCCACCCCTCTCCCCTGCCTCCTCCAATCTTCCCTGTTACTGTGGAGGGCAGTACCATCCTCCCAATCCCAGGGCCTCACTACCTAGTTATCATCCTCAACTCTTCACCCTCTCATCCCACATATCCAATCTGTTGTCAAGGCCTATCAATTTTACCTTCGCAGGTTCCCTCTCGATTATAGCCCTTTCTCCCTTCTGATACTGCTACCCCTCTGCTATAGGCCCTCATCATCTCACACTTGTGCTACTGTCATAGCCCAGTGGCGGCTTGTAGCCTCAGTCACAAGTCTCTCCATACTCCAGTTCTTCCACTCACTGTCAAAAGTCGTCTTCCTAAAGCACAGACCTGACCATGGCACCCTTCCTCCTTTTCCCTCAATCAGTAAACTTCAGTCACTCCCTGTCATCTCCAGGATCAAACATAAAATCCTCTCTTGACATTCAAAGCCTTTAATAACCTGCCCTCTCCCCAGCCTTTCCAGTCCTTTTACACCTTAACCCCCTGTCCCCATTCTCAGTGATACAGTGACACCAGTCTCCTTGCTACTTCTTCAGCAAGACTCTCCATCTCCCAATTCTGGGCATTTTCACTGACAGTCCACAAGGCCGGGAATGCTGTCCCTCTTCATCTCTGCCTTCTGGCTTTCCTAAAGTTCTAGCTAAAAGCCCGCCTTCTCCAGGAAGCCTTTCTTTGTCCCTTTTGATGTGAGTACTTTCCCTCTGTTGATTATTTCCAATCTATCCTGTGTATATCTTTTTATATAGAGTAGTTTGCATGTTGTCTCCCCTATTCAACCGTGAATTCCTTGCGAACAGGGACTGGTTTACCTTTCTTTGTATCCTCAGTGCTTATTAAGTAGGTGCTTAATATTTATTCACTGACTGCAAGTATTATCATCCCCATTTTACAGATGAGAAAACTGGGGCTAGAAGAGGTTAAGTGACCTTGCCCATGTAAGCAGTATAGTTTGAATTATCTTTCTGAGATTTGGTGTTGGAGTGACCTTGGATAAGACTGTTCCTGCATCTCTAAAATGATGAAGTTGAACTAGAAGGTTTGTGAGGCTTCTTCTCTCTATTAGTCCTATACTCCCTGTCTGTACAGGAAGTGGTAAAGGCAGTATTTGAACCCAGGTCTCTGGATACCAAATCCAGCATCTTCATGCTACTCAGTGTTGCCTCTCTGTGTAAATGTAAATGTGAACTCTTACCACTGTTGGCTGTCTTTCTTTTATTGTTGAGGAACCTTAAACTCCAGAGAGGTTAAATAACTAGCCTCTGTTGTCACCCACTCTGAACTAGAATTTAAATCAGGTCTCCAGTCTTCAGTCACACACTCTTTCTAGTTCTTTATGCTGCATCTCTCTATCTCTCTCTTTTAAGGCAGTTGGGGTTAAGTGACTTGCCCAGGGTCACACAGCTAGTAAGTGTCAGGTGTTTGGTCTGAGGCTGGATTTGAACTCAGGTCCTCCTGACTCCAGGGCCAGTGCTCTATCCACTGTGCCACCTAGTTGCCCCTATGCTGCATCTCTCAAAAGAACGAAGATGGTAAAAAAGTAAAAGAGAAAACAGAAGATTATGGCTGCCTTGCTCTTCTGAAAAAAGATCTAAGGGTCTTAGCAAGCCACATATGACAACCAAGAAAGCTAATACAGTCTGAGACCGTAATAAGAGAGGCACAGTGTTATGGCTAGTGAAGGGACAGTCCCATTGTCCTGTGCCCTGGACAGGCCACATCTACAGTATTGTGTTCAGTTCTGGGCCGCACAGGACAATGGAAGATTATTGACAACCTGGAAGATTGCCTGTATTTACAGGATAGTAAAAGACCTTCAGATCGTGCCGTATGAGGATTGTTTGGAGAAGCCAAGAGGAGAGAACTCGGGCATATGCTATTCAATTCAACTTAGCAGGCTTTTATTACACCCCTGCTAGGTGCCTGGCAAAGCGCCAGAAGTATGAAGATGAGAACAGTCTGTCCTCAAGGATGTTCTCAGTGACTTTCTTCACCTATGTGATGGGCTGGGGCGGGGGTGAGGGGAGTAGCTAGACTGGATCTACCTGGGCCCAGAGGGCAGAACTAGGAGGAAAGGGTAAGAGGTGCAAGGCGGTGGACTTAGGCTTGCTGTGTCAGAGCTTCCAACCCCTGGACTGTCCAAGGGTGGGATGAGCGGACTGTGGTAGCAGGGAGCCAAGTAGGGTTCCTGATCAGGGAAGGGCCGGTCCTGAAGCTCTTCCAATGCCTCTTCCAATTCAAGGCTGGTAGGTGGTGTGCACCCTGAGTGCGAATCCTGCCTCACACACTGCCTAGCTGGGCAAGTCAGTCACTAACTCTTCTCAGACTCAATTTCTTCACTTGTCAAGTGTGGATAACGAGCCTGTATCTCACAGTGAAGATCAAATGGTACAATGTGAAGTACTTTGCAAACCTTCAAATGCTAGATAAGTGTCAGTTATTGTGGTTATAGACAGCTTTTCCTGTGTGATTTCTTTCATGGATTTCATTGTTGAAACCCAGGGTTTGTAAATGTCAAGGCTTTACCCCTTCTCCTGAAGCTCCTGGAGGCTTTCTCCTCCTCTTCGCCTGTGTCTCTGTCTCTCTGTCTACCTAAGGAAGAAAAGGGAGTGGGAGTGAGATCAGCCTTCTGCTGTGAGCTTTCCTACCATCCTCTGCTTTTAGGGACACCCATGGGCTGTTGGTCTGTCCCTGCACTGACTTGACTCAGCTGTGTGAAGTCCACAGGACTGGAGGTTGAGAGGAAGAGGCAGCCTGTTGCCAGGGAGAGAATTCTGAATTTTGAGCTGGAGGACCTGTTTTCCTGCATAATAAGAAACCTAGGAGGATGATAGAGAAGAGTGGGAAGACTAAAGCAATTGATGTAGAACCGAGTAAGCAGAACTCCACGTTTAGCAGAAAGTGCCAAACTTAGTCCACGTTCCCTGACTCGGGGGATCACCAGCCTTTGAAGTCTGGCACCATCCCCCCTTCCCATCCGGCCATCCATCACTTGACCTGCCCTTCCTTTACTCAGTGCTCCCCCCCGATGCATGATCCTTAGCTGCCCCCCAGCTGTTCTTTTACTTTACTTTAGTCTCTTGACTCACTTGGGTAATGGCCTCTCTTCAGATGTCTGCCTGGTAAAAATCCTTCCCATCCCACATAGCCTTGCTTCTCTGATGATTTTATCCCTGAGCATTCCCTTTCACTCAGAAACTATTCTTTCTTTCTTCTGGATCTTTATACCTTACTTTTATATTCTATTTAGGAGAAAGAAGATGTGTATAGGAATATAAGCTTCTTGAGGGCAGGGACTGTAGTATTTATCTTTGTAGTCTGAGAGAGTTGCCTGGGAGAGGGTGAATGATTTGCTTCAGATCACACTGTGAGTATATGTCATTGGTAGGACTTGAATTCAGGTCTTGTCTCCAAGGCCAGCACAGTCTACCATGCCAACCTTCCTCTTTCATAGTAATACTCAATAGATGTGTTAAAAGAGTGAAATAAAAATCTACAGATGCTAGGTGTGTACCCTGAAAAGTTTTGGGTTTTGGTTATTATCTTATAACTCACTCTTTTCTCTGGTATTGTGTGGGGAAATCCAGCTCTTTGAGATCCTGGTTCATTGGGCTTTAATTGAAGTTTTACTTTTATATCATTGTGCACGTCTTGAAATCGTCAGAAAATTGGGATCTGAGCCCCAGCACCATCACTGCCTAACACTGTGATCCCTGGACACATCTTTTCAGGTCTCTGAGCCTTATTAGTTCCTTCCTCTTTAAAATTGAGATCTCACAGGTTGTTGTGAGAAGAGTGCCTTGTAGAAATCTTAAAGAGTTAGGAAAAGTGTCCCGATATTATGAGCAGTATGTTAGCCTAGAAGAGTAGAGAATAGTAATATAGGAGTAAGTTTCCAAGCCTTATTTTTAATTTCTTTGTTCTTTGCAGATTTGGGGGGACAACTCTAAAATCTTGTCTTTCCATCCCAAGATACTTCTGAAATAGATTATAGTAAGAAAAAAATCTGGTTTATAATAAAAAAATGGACTCAAATGTCTTTGTAATATAAATATCTTATGATATGTTTTTGTTTTTCTTTCAGTCCAAGGACAAAATGATGAGAGGTTCCCGAAGAGGCTGTGTTAGACTTCGAGTAAGTAGCTTTCTTTCCTTTTTGGGAAAGCCAACTTTCAGAGAAAGATAAAAAAGTGAATTTTTGGATGCTCTGGTGTCTTGTTAAGTCCTCTCTGTCCTCCTCCTCAGTGGCCCCTTCATTGCAGATAGGCCCTCCAGATTGGGTGGAAATGCTTTTCCTTCTTTCTTTAACATCTGTCATCTGGGTCCATTGTACTTTCTCTCAGCCCTTTCCTTGTTTCTCTTGTCCATCTTCTTTTAGGCTTAGTGTCAGGTTTCACGCAGAGATACGAAACTGGATGAGTAAGGTCAGGCAGAGGAGACTTCAGATTGAGCCCACCAGAGGGAAAAATAAAAAAGATGTTTTCAGATATCTTTTTTTTTTTTTTAATTTAAATTTTTAGGCAGTTGGGGTTAAGTGACTTGCCCGGGGTCATACAGCTAGTAAGCTCAAATGTTTGGTCTGAGGTCAGATTTGAACTCAGGTCCTCCCAACTTCAGGGCTGGTGCTCTATCCACTGCACCACCTAGCTGCCCTGTTTTCAGACATCTTAAAAGGAAGTACCTACAGATTTAAAACAACAACAACAGTAATCTTTGGTGATAAAGTAATGTGACTCATTGAGACTCATCAGACATGCCCTTGATTTTGAAAGACTGTTGTTATCCTTGTCATTTCTTTCATTCATTGATCTTAATGATCAATGTACATTTATTTTTGTACGTGATAGATGTTTAATGTTTGTTCACTTTAGGGTTTATTGAAATGCATACCTAATAACCCTGGTGAGGATAAACTGTTCTTCAAACTTTATAATGAATCAGGTGGTCAATAAACATCTGTTTAACACCTCCTGTGTGCCAGGCACTGGGCTAAACTGAGAATCGAAGATTGGGTTTGAGTTTAGGCTCAGACGCTCATCAGCCATGTGACCCTAGCCAAGTCACTTCTCTGTTTGATCTCTGTTTCCTCAGGTTAGAAATGAGGATCAAATGCTTGTCTCATGTTCCTTGCAGGGCTGGGAAGGAAGCACCTTGTAAATGGTGATGTGCTGTTTAAATGGGAACCAGTTCTCTGCTTGATAAGTGCCATTGACAAGATGGAAGGTGTCTTAATGAGGATACCTGAAATGGTCAGTCTCGGCAGTATGTCACAGTGGAACGAATGCTCGATGCAGACCCAGTCAGTCCAGCTGGGTTTTCATCCAGCTTTGCCACTTACCCTAGTGGACCTCAGTTTCCTCTAGTTTCCTCAGTAATGTGAAGGGGAGGGACTAGATGATTTTTAAGGCCTTACCCTTCTAGCTTTAGTTTTATGCTCCTGTGACCTCATTATCTGGCAAATGAGCCAGGATGGTGAAAGACAGATTATAGGAAGACAGATTCACGGGTATATTGCAAGTGGAGCTTCAAATTGGGCCCCACTGGTTCTGGAAAAGAATTGAAAATTAGCTCACAAAATTACTAAAATGTGCATATTCTTAGTCCCAGGAATGCTCCTTCTGTGATGGAGCATGTGTCCTAAGCTGGATGGAAAGGCCCTGTAACCACCAAAATGATCACAGCATTTCTGTGGGAACAATACCCAGAAACAGACAGAATAGGTGCCTCTTGGTTGGGGAATGGCTGAACCAACAGAGGCCCATCAACATGATGGAGTATGATTGTACCAGAGCAATGAGGGATGTCAGGAATTCAGAGAAACTTGGGAAGACTTGTATGAATGAATGACTGGTGATCTCCATAGAGCCAGGAGAGCACCGTGCAGCCATGTAAACAAATACCAAAAAGACAGCAATTGACATCAGTGAAATGACCTATCTCAGTGCCACAGGAGTGGGGTAAAACCTGTTTCCCTCCTGGAAGGAGGCGCAAGTTATTAAAAGTGTTTCCATCAGCTTCTTTTCTTTAGCTCCCCATTATTCTATGGGAGGGGGCAAAGTCACAGTGATGGGGAAAAATCCAAATGACCTTTAAAGCATTTCTGATCCTTTTTTTTTTTTTTTAAGGGAAAGGTTACAGAAATAATGAGTAGACCCTTAATAATCAATAGAACTTTACAATAGCGGAACCGACCATTTTCTTTGTAGTGCAGTTCTCTCTCACTAGAAATATTCAAGCAGAGACTAGCTGACCACTTGAGGAGCCTCAGAGGACAATTCTTTCATTGGGTGCAGGGTTGATCTGGAATCCCTTCCAGTCCTCTGATTTGGGGATTTGTCTGTTCATAGTGCACTTTTTAGTCAAGGACACCCCTTGGCAGGCATGGGCAGCGTATCACTTGAGAACAATTGTTTAAGAGAAGTGGTGTCAAAGGGACCATCAAGTAGGTGATGACGGGAAAGGGTGATGGGGCAGTGCCAAGAGCAGGAGAGACCCTGCAGTGGCCTGGCCAGGATAGGCCACATGGTGTGGGTCCACATGATGTCAGGAGACGGAGAAGGGTTCGGGGCAGTGAGAGCGTTTATTAAGGGCCCACCTCGTGCAAGTGACTGAGCTAAGATGCTGAGGAAACCAAGGCAGAAGCAACAGCTGGTGCCTGGGAGGAAGTGACAGAGGGCTTCTAGAGCTGGAATCCTGCCTTCGATGCTGGTAGGGCACTGTTGGGCATGGCACTATTGTGTCGCCCTGGGCACATCCTCTACATTGAACTTTAGAATATTTTGTCTCTCAAGAGGTGAAGGGTAGGGGCAGCTAGGTGGCGCAGTGGATAGAGCACCGGCTCTGGAGTCAGGAGGACCTGAGTTCAAATGTGGCCTCAGACACGTAACACTTACTAGCTTTGTGACTCTGGGCAAGCATTTAACCCCAATTGCCTTGCCAAAAAAAAAAAGAGGTGAAGAGTAGGAAGGAATGTATTTCAGGCATAGATGATCGCCTTTGCAAAGGCCTGGAGGCAGGAGTTGCTATGCCCAGTTCAGAGAAGAGCAGGACCTGTTTGGCTAGACCATAGGATGAATATGGGCGAGAGGAGCAGTATGAAATGAACCTGGGCTTTCAGTGTCCGTGGAGTTTGCCTTGGATCCCATAGGCCCCAAGGAGCTACTTAAGATTTTTGATCAGGAGTGTGGCCTGTGGTCAGACCTGTGCTTCAGCAAATTTATTCTGGCAGTTCTCTGGAAAGTTGTTTGGAGAGGGGAGAGACTGGAAGCAGGGAGACCAAGGTTGTGCCATGGTCCACACAAAATATAACAGACAACTGAACTAGTGTGGTGGCTGGAGTGGGATTGAGGAGGAGGAAGAAATGGGAGGGATGTTATGGACGTGACCATTGATTGGATGTGAGAGGGAGAGAGAAATGAGGATGTGGCTGAGTTTGTAAACCTGAGTGATGAGGAGCGTGGTAGTTCCTTCAATAGGAAATGGCAGGTATGGAGGACTGAGAGGTTTCAAGGGCAATGAGTTCGGAGGTCAGCGACATGCTTATTAAGTTTATGAGTGACACAGAACTAGGAGAGAGTGCTGATGGATTAGATGGTAGAATTGACATCAGGTCAGGATCTAATAAGAGGAAATTTTAGTAGGAGTAAATCATGTTCTTAGGTTAATCAAGTGCAGGATGTTATATGATAGTGTTGATGTGAAAATGACCTTAGAGAGTTAGTAGATTTGTAGCTTACAAAAAGGCAAATCATGTTCATTAAGCATTAGGGTGACTGTGCTTGACACTGAGGATACAGAGACATGATGAGGAGGGCCTCTGCCCTCCAGAAGCTTCCATTCTTTTTAAAATGTAGTGTACAGAACACAAGAAGCAACAGTTGTATTGCTGTTTGCCCTGGTCAGAACACAGCTGGTTCTAGGGTCCAGCATCTCAGAGAGGAATTAATATGGATCTTGTCCAGAGGAGTAGGACCAAGGTGGTGAGGGCTCTTGAAACCTTGCCTTTGGAGAGATGGGTGTGATGACAGCTAGCTGAAATATTTGAAAGAATATTTTAGAGCAGAGGGATTTGGCTTTTTCTTTTGGGTACTGGAGAGAACTAGGATCAGTGGTTGGAAGTTCCAGGGGCTAGATGTTGGCTCAATGTGAGGAAAAGCTTTGTCTCTCCTCAAATGAAATGGTCTGTCTTAATGTGGGTGAGGAGCTTCTCATTAAAAGATGTGTTTCAGCAGACTCTGGGTGACTAGCTGTTAAAATTTTCTACTTCAACATTTCAAAGGTTCCTTCTGATTCTTAAATTAAGTGATTTTTAAAAACTTCAGTATGATCATCCAATTATTTTTTTTTTGAGTGAAGGAAAGCCTTTATTACGCTTCTCAAAAGAGAAGCGGGCACACCAAACTCAAATATGGCACGTGTGCCCTGGGTCAGTGGTAGAATCAACTTAATCTTAAATAGTAAGATCCATACTCCACCCACCAAGGCTAGGATTGGTCTAGTTCATCTGAATTACACTCTTCCTGAACCATTCATCCCATGTTCCTCTATGTTCCTCCTTGTCATGTAAACTCCACCCGGTCATGCGTCCCATGTTAAGAAATGGCAGCTATCTTTGCCCTTGGGGTAGATCACCCAGTTCTTAAGGACATATATTTAGAACTGGCAGGTACCTTAGACATGTATGAAGTCCTGTTCTCTGTCTTCCTCTTCCTCTAAGGGTATACACAAGAAAATTGATGGAGGGGAGAAGCTTAGCTAGAGCTTGGAACCTGGAGTCAGGAAGACTGGAGTTCGAATTCTGCCTCAGCCACTTCCTGTGATCCTGGCACACTTAGCTGTGCGACTCTGGCCAAGGCTTTTAACTTCTTCCCACCTCAGTTTTCTCATTTGTAATATGAAGAGAATGATAACACCAACCTTCCAGGGTTGTTATGAGGTAAAATGAGATGATTTTCATTAAGTGCTTTACAAAATGTTCGCTATCATTTAGCATCATCATCATCATCATGCAGGGCCTCTGCAAAGGAACAAGCCAGGTTGATAGGTAACAAACCTTTATTAAGCACTAAACTATGTGCCAGACCCTGTGCTAAGAACTGAGGATGCAAATATAAGCAAACCTGACCAACCAAACCA